TATCCAAATTGTATAACATATTCAACCTGAGTCGGTTGCCTTTCCAACAGTATCGTTTTTCATGAAACCTAAAACGTATATGCACTACATTTTGCTTGCCATCGGTGAATGTGCTGGCATTCTACGTTTGTTACTTAACTTCTTACATAAATCGTACGATATGTCACTCCTCTTCCACCTAATCCTTGATATCGATAGTACATATCCAAATACATCACGCAGATAAATGCAATTTGTAGTTTTGAACACTGTTTGAAATTCGTTTTTCTATGATATCATCCGCTCATTGTAGATAAAATTTACTGAAAATTACATGCATCGTAAATCTCGCCAGTTTTGGCACATTACTAAATCACCATTCACTACGTTTTGCGTAATTTATGGTATGTCTTAATTCAAATGTCAAAGTTAACTGGGAGAATTGAATTTAAAAGAAAAAGACGTGATCATTGTGATCAGCGGTAGTTTTGTTGTTGTATGAGCGAATCACCAATGCTCGTTCTGAAACATTATCAATGTTCGGAGAATCGCTGAGAATGTTTTGGAAAATACGCAAACGCCAAAGTGAAGTTTCAACGAAATTACATTGTGTTTATAAAATCACGTCACATGTATGTCGGTTATGTTTCGTCCATAAAATTCAACACCATCTTCCTGACACGAATCCCTGAATTCCTCACACAGTTCAAAATAAGCTGACAAATGGACTTTGTCACCAATATGAAGTGTTTCAGTGAAATCTAACGAAATATATCGAGGATATGAGATGCCGCGCTGTGAAAGAATACTTGTTTGAAATGTGTACAAAGCCAATCTCAGATTTTACACTGTGTATCCGTTCGCCTACTTGTTGCATACAATTGCTCATTAGTTTTAGAACATGCATGGGAAAGGTATCGTAGCAAGCGATAGTTAAATAATAGTTAAATAAAACAGGTGTATTCCAATGATTTTCTAGATTCATCACTACATATTATAGTTTTTGAAAGCATGACGCCATAACTGACGCAAACTTAAGCACAACGATGACGGTACTTCTCTTAATTTCTGACTATTTCCCTTGGTCACAATGAAAACAAAAAGAAAATAACAACCAGCAGACTGACAGAAGTTTCGGACTACTTACATGTCACATTTATGCATATACGTTGCTTGAAACAACGAAAATTTCTTTCGAAAACTCCGGCGTACTCGTGTCAGTGAACACGCCATTTTGAAAAAGTCGCTTCCCGATAGTGATGTCATACGGACGTCAACATTGTCATACATATTTGGTATTTTAAGGCGAGGTTATGAATGAAAATACACGCGATCAATCCGTCCTGCTGCTTACATTTTCTGCTCTTATGCTTCTTCGTATTTTCACAAACTTTTTTTCACGTGATTAATATCAGTATTATTATCTTTTGATTTGGGACTAGACAGTAGACCAGTTTAAAATCAAGTGGCACCAATTACGTCATAATCAAAGGGCGGTAACTCTGGCCTGTTTAGCTCGGCAAACAAATACCTCATATTGGCATAACATTTCAGCACTTATTTTGAGGGTTATACTTACATTGTAAGAAAAATGAGTGTATATTTTCAAACATTGGTATTAACTAATTAAAACAGTTCACTTTGATTCACATAAGAATAAATGTGATTTATTCGTGTACACTTCCCTTTAAGTCCCAAAATTGTCTTAACCCCTTGATGCCGAGTTTTTTTTCAGGCGCACATTTTCATACGCTTTGAAAAGTGAACGTTGTGCGAGAATTGCGCTCGCGTGGTCCTGGATCTACGTACGGCTATAAAATTACACAGAAATGTAGAATATTAAATTTCCTATCCGTTGGTATAAATATAAGTGCAACTACCTTGGCGGTTTGAGAAATAGACCTTGCTAAATGTTGTCCAAATTTTTGTTATGCGTTAAAAAACAGTAAATTTCTCCGCTTTTTATCGCGCACCGATAAAAGCACTGTGCTACGAATTTTTTAATGTGGCATCTTTACGGAATGTGTGAGCGAAGAAAATACAGCCTGATATCTGAACGACATAAGTGTATATGAATTGGGTTTATGTGCTTGTGCATAACGTTATACGCTCAACATTAAAAATGACTCGTAATAAATGTCAAAAATGGATTTTCTTCTATGACGTCAAACGACGACAGAGAGGTCATACACGTATAATGATAAGGGGGCATAACTCCGTTATGCGTAACACTAGGTCAATGTAACTCAGATCACTTGGACAGAATTTGTTGTGGATACGGACGCTATATTTTCGTTATGTTATGTTCATGGTGAACCAAACTATTCCAATTCAAAGTTCCCCAATGTGAACGGATGCGCTTTGGTAGTTTCCACAATTGATAAGAAAAGATGTCAAGTATTACATGTGAAAGCACGTAATGCTTGATTTGAATGGCCCTATCCGATATATAAGTTAGTTCTTAGATTCCCATATTCTCCTGTTTGTGTAGATGTAATTTGACTTATTTTGCATCGTTATTACCAGAGTACTAAAAGCATATCTTCAAATGTAACGAAATTGCTGAAAATGATACAACATTTTAGTTGACGTCATTGCTTGTTTTATGCATTTTGCGACGTCGGAAAAAGACGACATTGGTATGCTGATTAGTATATATGTCACTTAATTTCCATTAATTGTATAAAAGGTCTAGACTTCTATGTCAGAATTTAACACTCTTTAGACAAAACATAAAATGACTGATTTTTCCATTTAAATAGTGTCCTGAATATATCAACAATTAGACGGTTTGATAGCGTATCTTTTTGTGAACAACACGCGCACCTGTTTGGCATCAATATAACGTAAATAAAAATAATATTTCACAACACCCGAATATTTTGTTTGGGATAAGAATTTTGTTTGTTTATGATTATGTCGCTATTTCTCTTCATACGTATGCAATGAAAGATGCAAAAAGATAGCTTTTTATATATGGAACTATATATTAGAATATGGAAGTAAGATTTGTCCGAATTAACACATGAGATGGTATATATATTTTTCAACCATTTTCCTATAAATGTAGATAGAGTTTGATATCCTGTTATCACAATATTATTTAATCGAATATGAATTGAATATATTATCGAAAACAATGCTAGAGAATCATAAAACGTTTCCAACAAACGCGCACCTGGCCGATCAATATGCATCATTCTTTTGTCTATAAAACGACACAAAATTATGCAATGAACAAGACAATTCCTTTAAGTATGTGTGCATATATATTTCATAACATATATAAATCATTTTCATTAATATTATCAGTTTTACATATAAGGTTGAATTATGTCACCGTTCATTAACCTGTTCATATGAAATTGCAATATTAGTAAAAATAAATTGAATATTGTACATCATAGGAACTAAAGTAGTTGCTGTTATTGCTACGTTTGATCTTCTAACACTTCTGTAAAGGTTTCGAATATGGTGTATTGCACTAAATATGTCAATTTCTTATGTAAATATAGGATTCAAACAATCAAAACTTTCAAAGAATAAAACACCGTAAACCCTATATGCACGTATGATATGATATTGAACAAGGCTAAATGTAGATACTGAAGTCAGTTTCATGAAAAAGTATCTGAACTAATACGCAAAATATACACCATAATACTGACAGTGTAATCGGAAGGATATGGCGATTGTGTTTACTCTTGTTCAACCGACCTTCACCTCAAAGAAATTGCCTAATATGTAGAACAATGTTGACGTATGACATCACTACCGCTGACCGATTTCTTACAAAATGGCGGCTTTGCTGACAAGGGTACACAGGATTTTGCGAGGACCCTTCCATTGATTCAGGGATCGTTTGTACATAAATATGACATGTAAGTAATCAGAATGATTCTGACTACCACTGTATTGTTATATGTTTTTTATCGTTTTCACTATAAGTAAGAGAAAAGGCCAGAAATGCAGATAATTACCGTTGTCGTTCTGCGTGATTTTGCGTCAGTCATGGCGTCACGCTGCACGGAAACTTTGACAATTTCTTATGAATTATCAAATCATTGCATTGTATCTATTTATAATTTCCTATTTCTTGCTACGATACTCTTTCCATGCATATTCCAAAGGTATTGAGCCATTGCAAGCAATGAATAGACGGATGAATGTTGAAAAATTTCAGAAAATGCTACGCAGTGTAAAATCGGAATTTGTCTTTGTTTACATTTCAGACTAACGCAGTCTTTCAAGCACAGCGTTCGTTTTCACACCCAATATGTTTCGTCTCATTTTATCTAGACAGTTATCATTGGTGACACAGACCAGTTGCAATTTGATTCTAAAATGTATGGGGAATTCAGTGATGCATTTTTCTAAGCTGAATATGAAATATACGTGATGTAATAGGCGTCTCAATACCGGCCTCCGCGAAACGTGATTTTGTAAACACTATCAAATATGGCGGAAAGCGCTCTACGGCGTTCGTGTAAGTGCATTTTCGAAAACATCCCAACCGATTCTAGATTCATCGGCAACGTTTCAGAATTATAATTAGCGATTTCATGTAAAACTGATATCAGTGATCATAAATATGTTATTTTTGAAATTCAATACTCCCAGTAATTATCCGATTTTCACATTTCAAAACATACAGCAAATAACGCTGTGAATCGCGATTTCGTACTGTGTCAAAAATGGCAACATTTTCGATGAAGCCAATTTTGAAAGGTCATTTTCAGCACTTGAGCTTTGTCTAAAATACTAGTGGGCGTTATCAAGAAACAGGAAATTTCCCGCAGAATTCGAAACTGTGAAGTGTATTTGTGTGCGTGGGATATTTTGATTTTATTGGACTTGGAATTGAGGGTTGAAGGGGAAGGACATATATGTCCCTGTGGCATCCAGGGGGGTTAAATCGGGGATCACGTACATTTTTAGTCTTAAAAGTTAAGACTGAGATCATTTTTGTCTTAAATCCTGAGACTGCTACCTACCAGTCTTAAGTCCTTTTTGATGCCGAGGTTTTTTTTCAGGCGCACAATTTCATAAGGTTTGAAAAGTGAACGTTGTGCGAGATTTGTGCTCGCGTGGTCCTGTATCTGCGTACAGCTATAAAATTACACAGAAATGTGGAATATTAAATTTCCTATCCGTTGGTATAAGTATAAAAATGCAAATACCTCGGCGGTTTGAGAAATAAACACTGCTAAATGATGTCCAAAATTTTGCTATGCATTCAAAAACAGTAAATTTCTCCGCTTTTGATCGTGCACCGGTAAAAGCACTGTGCTACGATTTTTTTAATTTGGCATCTTTACAGAAAGTGTGAGCGAATATATTACAGCCTGATATCTGAACGACATAAGTATATATGAAATGGGTTTATTTGCTTATGCATAACGTTGTACGCTCAACATTAAAAATGACTCGCAATAAATGTCAAAAAATGGATTTTCTTCTATGACGTCAAAGGACGACAGAGAGGTCATACGCGTATAAAGATAAGGGGGCATAACTCCGCTATGCTTAACACTAGGTCAATGTAACTCATATCACTTGGAGAGAATTCGTTGTGGATACGGACGCTATATTTTCCTTATGTTTTGTTCACCGTGAACCAAACTACATGTATTCCCAATACAAAGTTCCCCAATGTGAGCGGATACGTTTTAGTAGTTTCACAAGTTATAAGAAAAGATGACAATGTACTACATGAGAAAGCACGTAAAAGCGATTTTGATGGCCCTATCCGATATGTAAATTAGTTCTTAAATTCACATATTCTCCTGTTTGTGTAGATGTATTTTGACTGATTTTGCATCATTATTTACTGAGTACTAGCCATATCTTCAAATATAATGAAATTACTGAAAAGATTACAAAATTGTAGTAGACGTCATTGCTTGTTTTATGTATTTTGCGACGTCGGAAAAAAACGGCACTGGTATGCTGATCAGTATATATCTCACATAATATCCATGAATTGTGTAAAAGGTTTTGGTTTCTATGTCTGAATTTAACACTCTTGTGACAGAACTTAAAATGACTGATTTTACCATTTAAATAATGTCCTGAATAGATCCATAATTAGACGGTTTGACTTTGTATCTTAATATGAACAACACACGCACCTGTTTGGCATCAATTTGACGTAAATTAAACAGAATATTTCACAACCCCTGGCCCCGGGGTCATGAAAGTTAAATCGCTATTCATAACCTGTTCATATGCAACTGTAATATTGGTCCGAATGGCGAATATTGCACATGATACATGAACTATTTAAGTACATGTTGCAGTTACGCCTTCGTTTGTTCTTTTAAAACTTGTTTAAGGATTTAAAATATGGTGTACTACACTCAGTATATCAATTTCTTATGTAAATATTATTCAAACAAACAAAACCCTTGAAAGAATGAAAACCGTATACCCTATATCCAAGGATATGATATAGAACAAGGGTAAATGTAGATAATGAAATTATAGTTTCATGAAAAATATATCTGAAAGATACTCAAAATATACACTGAAAGTGTAATCGGTGGAACATGGCGATTGTGTTTACTGTTATTCAACCGACCTTCACCTCAAAGAAATTGCCAAATATGTAACAACAATGTTGACGTATATGACGTCACAACCCGTGACCGATTTCTTACAAAATGGCGGCTTCGGTGACATGGGTATACAGGATTTTGCGAGGACCTTTCCTTTGATTCGGGGATCGTTTGTACATAAATGTGTGATGTGAGTAATCAGAATGATTCTGACTATCTGTGTATTGTTACATGTTTTATCGTTTTCATTGCAAGTAAGAGAAGAAGCCAGATATGCCGATCATTACCGTTGTTGTTCTGCGAGATTTTCCGTCAGTCATGACGTTACGCTGCACAGAAACTTTGACAATTTCGTATAAACATATCACATTACTGTATTGTATCTATTATTTTTTGCTACGATACTATTTCCATGTATGTTCTAAAAGTATTGAGCCTATGCATGCTACGAATAGACGAATGGGTGTCTGAAATTTGAGAAAATGCAGTACACAGTGTAAAGTCTCAATGTTTCTTTGTTTACATTTCAACAAGTGCTGTCTTTCTCACACAGCGTTCGTTTCATATCACCTAGACACTTGGTTTTAGTGACAAAGACCATTTCTTATTTGATACTAAAATGTATGAGGAATTCAGTGATGTATTTGTCACAGATGAAAAGGAAATATACGTGATGTAATAGGCGTCTCAATACCGGCCTTCGCGAAACGTGATTTTGAAAACACTATCCAATGCAATATGGCAGAAAGCGCATTTAGGCGTTCGTGTTGGTGTATTTAGAAAACATCCCAACCTTAAAGACACTAAAAGTCACCGCGGCAGGGATAAAAGCGTCAGTTGACTTGTTTGGAACATTTCAGCAGGTGCCTGGTACTAAACTATTCTCCTCAATTATTTAAGAGTGACCGGACATGATTACATCATTCTAAAATTTCCATGGTAACTGTCTTAGTCTTAGTCTTAGCTAAGATTTGGCTGAGACAGTTTCATGATCCAGTCTTATCTAAAATCTTAGCTAAGCAAAATAATTTAGACTTAAGATATTTTTGTGCTAAGCAAATTTTAGACTTAAGATTTTTTCATGATCCCGGGGCCTGAAGGATATGCTTGCGACAGGATCGGGAGTCTGACTCACTGACTTCCTGCTGAGTAGTTACTGGTACCTTCAGAAGAATGCTTTAGATCTTACGGTACGACAAAGGGATGCAACCCTACATTGGTAATAGAGACGCTTTTATGAGTCGAAATCATCCTAATAACATTAACTGAATGCCGTATCCAACAACAGACGAGATAACTAGTCAACAAAACAATATGACAGCTGATTGGAGGTTATTACTAAAACTTTACTGACCAGCGGGGAGACAGACCTCTAACTGACACGACGTCAGGAATACTGGCCATGCCGCCGTGCTTGAAGGGGAATCATGTGAAGCGGGCGTAAAATATACACAGCCTAATTTTGTTTTAAAACGAGGAGCTTTTAAAAGAGAAAAGAAAATAGGTACGCGGTGCGAGAGAGTTGACATGCACATAGACAATGCCAAAAAATAACGTTCCCATGAAGAAAACTGTTTACTGCTAAGCAAACAAACATATCCATGGCCATCTTACGGAAAACATTTCTGAAATTACGGATCAAAGTATCTATCAGTTGGAAAAGGGTCACGGAAAGATTAGATTGATAACGGCGATGATGTTTGTAATTACCTATGTTCAAAGTAAACATACGTAGACAATTTATTATAAGGAACATTAAACAGTTGGCCGCAGAGCGAATCAAGCATTTTGTGTAAGTGTACAGCATTTTGTGTTCATTTTGACAGTTCCCTTTTATGAACTTTTGACTTGACTCTGAATCCTGGGGACGTGTTCCTCTTTTGTACAGTCTGTCCCACCGCATCACTGTCTCAAGCAATAACCATACAAATCGATACAATCAAATACAGAGCAATACCTCCACGTTATTAATCTCAGAAATTTATTTTTTTCATTAGCTTTAGATGTTCTTCACATGATCTTATTGTTATAGTGTGAAATATTAGGGGAATATTTGCACTAACAAATATTTCACACTATAACATTATGATCGACTTGGGTAGATATTATGATATTCCAAAAGAAAATGGATTGTGTAAATATTGTACATTAAATATTATTGAAGATGACTTCCACTTTTTGTTGGTATGTCCTTACTACAGTGATTTAGAGACAAAATTTAGGATGCAAAACGTGGTCACTATTGAAATTGTATCATATAACTTCAGAGGTTCAGGTAATGTGTTAGATGTGGAGGTAAATGCAGAATATAAAACAGTGTGAATCGTACTGTGGATTTCCTACGAATCTGGACAGCTATTTGTCATGTTTATCTGCGGCCGTCTCTTTAGCCAGTCTACTGCTGCCATTATTGTAGGAGTACAAAAAAGGCCACATATAGGAATACTTATGGTGTGGCATATTAATCCCCTTTACAACGAGTTGACTTTCTAACAAGGATGTCACTGTCAGTGAGAGGCTCTCCTTCAAACGATTAACATTTATAGTTGTGTTTACGAAATGTCAAGGATTTAAAAGTCATAAAAAAGCTGAACACAAACCAAAGTACATAATCCGATCGAAATCCCAATGTACTTTTCCTACATTCATGTTGGTGCGGAGGAACTGAAGATGGGATCATGGAAACAGAAGACTTTGGACCGATCCCCTACGTGGCCCTCCCTCCCAACATCCCCCAATGCAATATGGAATAAATTAGAACAAAACACAATTTTTACATACACAAAAACGGAAGAAAAATTAGTTGAAAAAATTGTTTGACTTAGTGCTGTGAAAATAACATTTTACTTCTGAGACAATACCTTGTCGCAAAATGACACCAGATAGCATGTGGTTACTCTCTCTGGTCAACATACAGCCTGTTAACTAGTCCTTACACTGTTGAGTAAACAATTCGACATACCTTTTGTATTTGTTGATATATTTATTTATTATAATTATTTTAATACCTCAAATGGTTAACTTCTCTGATCACAATGACTGTTAGGTTCCACGTACAGGAATCCAAGCTGTCTATCCGGTCCGTACTAATTTGTCTTGGTACAATATGTTGATACTAGGCTGATGGAGTTCCATTAATAGAATACTGACAATGAAAAGTTTTATTTAGGATTCAATGAATAATAACGGTTGCGGTAGCCTCTGAGCTGGACCTTACATGTGCGTTGTCTGAAAGATGTTGGGTATTCTGGGATCCTCAAACAGTGAGTTAATATTCCAGCAATATCACGGCGGAGGAACACCAGAAATGGGATTCACACGTTGCACACGTGAAGAATGGAACCGCGTAACGAGCGAACGCTTTAACCGCTAGGCTTCCCCACCGCCCGAGATTCAAAGACGTCAGTGTGTAGTAACGTACCTCTTGAAAGCGGAAATAATTTCAATTTTACCATGTAACATTTATAATCTATATTTTAAAATATCACCGCTATTTTGCCCTTCACGCCCGCCCTATGGAGCCCTAATAGAAACTGGTTATTCCCTGGCGTTGAAATTTTATATTAATACATTTTTTGTAACATGGTTCACTTTTAAGTCACAGCATAGAACAAGTGATGCTTTACATGGACAGGCGTGTTAGACTGACTGACTGACTGAGTTTGGTTTTACGCCGCTTTTAGCAATATTCCAGCAACATCACGGCGGGGGACACCAGAAATGGGCTTCACACATTGTACCCATGTGGGGATTCGAACCCGGGTCTTCGGCGTGACAAGCCAACGCTTTAACCACTAGGCGCGTTAGAACACAGGTAAACATAGTCGGCGTCAATAAACGTCGTGTTGTGATGTGTTTCAGTTAATGCTTCTGCAACCAGTGGTCATAAAAGTGTCTGACTGATCCAACGATATATCTACAGGCGATTCTCATTCCGTGACATTACAAGGGATCGAACCAGGGCTAACTTTACTCTTATACTTTTAACTAACTAATTTACTGATTCAACGAATTCTCTGACATATTTGATAATATTAGCGAGATGAAAACTTCCTATCAGGACTAACAATACAAATACATATGATAAGTACATGTAATTAACTTCACCAATTCAAATGTACAAATATAGCAGTTGGTGTCCGTACTGCGTAAAAGACGTACAGGCGACTTAGTAGATCGTCAGTCTGACAAACACGTATATAAGCTTTTAACATCCCATTGGTCGGAAAGAACATCATATCCTACACTGCACATTATGTATTTGACAGTAGGCTAACCAATCGAAAGTGTAGCGAAACTCGGTTAATCCTGCTTAGTATCAATCACGTCACGAGTCTTGAAGAAATAGTGGGCGTTATTTTCAAACACGCAGTAGATCATAGATCTTAATCATTTGTAAAGGTAGCTGTTTTGGAGTACAATGGCCTGAAATGAGAAATGACAAAAAGAAACAGAGATGTACCAAAAATCTGAGCTTCAGGATGTTATATAGCAGTGTAATTATTCCTAAAAGATATCGACCCGTAACACGAGGGAAAGAGCATACACTACATACTACCACGTTTTGGATAGTTGTTTAACTTAGAAATACAAGAACTGGTTGTTCGATAATGACGTATTTGATACGGGCTTCAGGGTTGTGTTTTGGACCTTAACGTTTGTATTTCGACGAACGTTACCGGCCTGAAACGTTTTGAGATTTTAGTCAAATCCACTCTTCAAGTGCATGTTTTGTAGTTAACCGTTTGATCAATATTTTCAGGCGAGACGGCTGGAAGGTATTATACTAGCGACACGGCTGACTTTAAGTTTCCCGGGCAGACCACGGACCATGGAGGCAGTACTCTGGACCAAGGCATAGACTGGGTACCAGAAAGTAGAGCAGAATATCTATGAAATGAAACGTTCGTCAACTCCCACACCCACACCCACACCCACACCCACACCCACACCCAGACATTTAACTGTCCTTCTACTACGTTCACAACACTCACACACCCGTGAACATCAGGGAAAGAATTAGTCTTCAGGAACCCAAGTTGTGAGAGGCGACGAAAGAGATCGGGTATGGGTCGATTGCGTAGAATGTCTGATCCGAACTCGAGTTATGACAGTCGGTCGCCATATAACTGAAATACAGCTGAGAGTGCAGTAAAACAACAAAGAAGCACTCGGTCATTAGATGCTTGAGTAAAAACGCGTGAAATTCAACAGGCCAGCGCCATCTTGTCTTCATTGAGCTGTCAACGCGTGGTGTACGCGTCAACTGGGGAAATAGCTCATAATTTAGATGAAGTGTGCGTTGATGAAGACGAAGGCATAGTTGAGTTCAAACTTCTTTAGTTACATGACAAACAAATACACAAGACATACATAACAGCGGAGTACCTGCTCAACCACAGGGCGTTTCCAACGAGCGGCATTATCCTGCTCGTGGTCGTCCCAACGGACAGTCCAACTACCGAACTCATACTCCTTCCACTGTCCTCATTCACCGTCTACCTGTGAGCATACCTAGTATATATATATACAGTTTTTGACAACAATGGTCAGGCGACGACTCATCAATGGACAGACAGAAAAACAATAGTACTTCCTTGACCAGTTGATGTGATGGCAGACACGGCCAAGGGGGAGGGGGATTACCAATGGAGGTTATAAATGTCAGACTCTTATACAATAATTATTGGGCTGACAAGTCAATTTACAATGCGGTAGTGATAAGGATGTACAGTAGTGATTAAAAATACAGCTTAGCGTCATTTATATATTACAATAAAGTCTCACATGTCTTGAGTACATAGGTTTGGACTTTTTAAATATTTGGACGATGGCTGTCCTGAATTAGTCACTATAACAGAGCTAATAATGTCAGCAATGTCATAACTTCCCATAAACATTGCCGAACCTTCCCAGGTACCAAAAGTTCGATTCAATCAGTTATTGCGTCTGTCTGTGACGTGGGTTGCAGTAACTGTCCTGCTGTGGCTGACAGATCGATCAGTCAGGCCACTACTGTTGACGATCGTTATGGTGTGATTAGCCGTTTCCATACAGCAGATTGGTAATTAAACGGCCATTTGGAACGAAACGTGATGTCATGAATGCATAAAACAGAGGAGACGGGGATATATGACGTGGAAGATTTACATGCTGCAGAAATTTTCATAGATGGCGGCTTGGTCTTTAGGTGCCAATAAGGGAGACAACTCGTGTAAAGGTCCTGGCGTGTGATGTATGATTTCACAGTCAGTATTGACCGTCTTCTTTGTTCCCATTGTCCACCGTTAGTCTTGAACTTTTAAATATTTCTGCTGTATTGACGATTACTATCGTTACAATGGGGCATTGTCGGTATACATTGCTTCCAAACATTAACACTCTGCATTTCTACATTCCAAATATAAAATGCAAGTGCATCAGAATCTTCCATTTAAAAATAAAAATATTTATTCTTTTTAACAGTGTTAACAAATTAACATATATGATACAATACACATCTCATCTAACT